CTCGGCATGGCAGGACCACTGACTATACTCTTTCTGTTGTACAACCATTATTGATAGCCTCACCAAAAGAGTCTACCACTGTAGCAATTAACCAATGCCCCGTAGCAAAAACTCTTCCTCCTCCACCCAGAGCAACCATGGGTCACGTTTGGTTTTGGTTTTTGTTCTTTTTCTCATAGTTTTCTTGATGTAACATTCACACCTACACACTTCCACAGTTAACCCGCTTCCAAAACAAGATGTCTATCCATCAACACAGTCAGCTCCCCCCTTGCACATCCACGGATTGCTCCACAATCCTCCCCCTCCCCTATAAACCACTGCACCATCAGTTACTATCTCTCTGCAGCCACTCCTGTGCTTCCTACACTGAGAGACCTAACAGAAATATTTTAAAAAAGAAAATGAAACATAAGGAAGGAAACAGTAATGATAATAATACAAAATTAAAATAAAGAGAAAGGCAAAACTACCAACAATATTAAAAAAACCAGAGAAGGCATTTCTTGGACCAATTGAGACATATTTGTGCAGAGAGCAAATTCAGGTTGGATCAAGAGCAATGTCAACTGCCCAAGTACCCTATCCTCCCATGGTTCAAGTCACTGTCCTCAAGTGTACAATGCTCTCTGCCTCATGGAAAAGCTGTTCGAGGGCCTCCCGTGGCCAGAGGGGGTCTGCCGGAGGCAGGTACAACCTGACCGTACACGCAGTCCTTCTTGAGACTTCTCACAGAAAGGTAGAGACATACTTTCATCTACTTACCTAGTGCTGTCAAATTAGTTCTGACTTAGAGCAACCCTCTAGGACCCAGTAGAACTGTCCCAGAGAGTTTCCGAGCCTCTGAGTTTCACAGAAACATGGCCACCCGGGCTTCCTTGTCACTTTGATTCACTGGGGGCAAAACTCATTCCTAAAGTTGCAGCTTTGAACTCCGTCTCCCTCGATAATATGCCCTAGCCTCTGTTTTTAAGGTACTTCTTTCAAGGGAAGGGCAGCAAATTCACTAGAGAAATTTAGACACCAAGCTTCTAAGCGTAGCAGTTTTCAGGTGGTTTTTTAGTCACAGTCAAGCAAGTGTTTTCCTGCACGAGCACACTAGCTTACGTTTGTTTTACCTGAAAATAGTGCAAAGAGTGGGGAAGGAAGACAGTCAGGATTTCTATGAAGAATGTGATCTTTCAGCTGCAGCATGGGGCGAGCCGTGAGCCGGGCTTTCCTGGGGAGCCCTGAGAACCTTTCAGAAATGGTCGGTAGATGGAGGCACAAGAACAGAGTCTCAGGCTGGATGAAGACTAGTGGAGCAGGAAAAAGATGGAAGAAGAGAAGTCAGGATAGAGACAAGAAGAAGGTTAAAGAAGGAACTTCAAGGAAGCCCTCCTCTTAATCCCCAAATGAAGCAACTGCACAAACAACTCGTAGCTGTTTCTGCATGACTGGTCAGTCCGGTGCTTATGAACAGCAAACAGATGAATCAAAGCAAGCAGGACCAACAATCTCCAGCGTATGCCCTTAACTACTGGACATGAGTAAAAACGACAGTCCTTACAAGGAAATAAAAATGCATGATTGTGTAGTTACTAAAAAGGGTTTCCAGGATAAAAGGACGAATTAATTTTTACTCTATCCTTCAAAAAGTTAAAATAAGAAAATCATGTTAAATATCTACAATAAACTAAGTGAAATGAAGGTTAAAAAACTATGCAGCACCAGAA